TTTAATGTGTTTGATTGAGAGGAGCATGACGACCTCCCCTTTGACGAAGTCCTGCCTGTCGACGGACAAGTAGCGCCGTTTCTGTTTGATGGGCGTGGAGGCCGGGTCGACGGTCAACCGGTGAGTAATCACCTGGCGGCTGATGCCTGGCATGTCGTCCGGGCCCCACGCGAAGACAACGGCGTATGACCGTAGGACGAGGAGGATGGCGTCTCGTTGGTCTTGAGGGAGTTGCTTCCCGACTCTGAGAACCCGCTCCGGCCGGGAGGTATCCAGGGGGATTTCCTCGACCTCCTCGGCCGGCTCCGCATGTGGCCTCTCCTCGTCCTTGGCGACGGCTGCCGTGATGGTGTCTATCCTCTGGCCTTCCCTCTCGGCCGGCCTCGTCAGTTTGAGGTAGCACGCCCTGGCTATCCTCTGGTTTCCTCTGGCGTAGCCGATGCCGTCATTGGTGGGGAACTTCAGACATAAGTGCTTCATGGAGATGACGACCTCCAAGTCCTCCAGCGCTGGCCGCCCCAAGATCAGGTTGTGGGCGCACCAGAGGTTGACCACCATGAACTCCATGTCAATCTTGGCGCGGTGGGGGCCGTCACCGACCTCCACGGGGAGGACTATCGTGCCCTCGGCATCGATAGAGTCCCCGGTGAAGCCGGATAACGGTGTCTTGATCGGCTTCAGCAGAGCTCTGTCCAGCTTCAGCTGCCTGAAGGTATCCAGGTACATCACGTTGACGGAGCTCCCCGTATCGATGTAAGTGCGATGGATGATGGAGTCACCGATCTCACACCGGATGACGAGGGCGTCCCTGTGTGATCCCGTACCCGGAGGCAAATCCTTGTCGGTGAAGGTGATCGCCTCCGTCCGCTGCTTCTTCAGCTGGGGGGAACGTGGGACACCTCCCCAGTGTAGAGGGATTGGGCCCATTTCTTTCTCTGAGTGGCGGAGTCCCCCCCAGTGTTCCCACCTACGATGAGGTGAATGTGATTCTTCTTTGGCGGGGGCTCTTCGAAGTCCTCGTCGTCGCTGAGCCTACCAATCTCCCGCTTCTTCGCAGAGGGTTCGCCCCCATGTTTGTCGGTGTTTACCCATGTGTTTTTGCGTGGGCCACCTTTAACAAACTGGGAGAGTTCCCCCTGGCGAATAAGGCGCTCGATGGCCTTCTTCAGTGTGATGCAATCGTCGGTGTTGTGCGACGAGTTCTTGTGGAACCGGCAGTATGTGCCGCCCTGCTGGATGGCAAGGATCTCCTCGGCCGGCCGGGGAGCCTGCTCGATGAGGCCGTGCTTCTCGGCATAATCGAGGATGGTGCCGACCGGGTGAGTGAGGGAGACCCCCAGCCGTTCCAACCTCGGCCGCCAGTGGCGATCTTTCTTACTCTGTCCACCAGAGCCGTGACGGCCCTGGGCACCCTGGCCGGCCAGGGACGGACCCGGGGCCGGCGAAGGATTTGTCTTCTTGGAGGGATGGCCCCCCTCTTTCTTGTGATTATGGAGCTCGTCGGCGTCGGCGTACAAGCCTCCGCGCTGGAGCGCCTTGGCGTACGACCTCGGAGGGTCGGTGATAAGGCTCCTAGCGTACGGGGAGCTGCGGAGGGCTCCCTGATACAAGGCGAGGAGGGTGCGCTCATCGGCCCCCTCGACCTCCTCGGTTTCCCTTGTCCACCGATCAATGAATGACCGGAGGGACTCCTCGTGCTGCTGCTTGACGGAGAGGAGGTGGGTGAAATACTTCTTCGCACGCTTCCTCCCGGCAAAGTGAGTGAGGAAGCGTTGGGCGAGATCCTGCCATGAGTCGATGCTCCCTTCGGGGAGCGCGTTGAACCACTCGTACGCTGGCCCCTCGAGAGTAGAGAGGAACCAACGGCAGAGGTATTCGTCGGACGCGTTCACCATCAGCATGTTGTTCTGATAACGGCTGAAGTGTTCCTGGGGGTCTGATCGGCCGTCGTAGGACTTGATGGCGTTCCCCCTGTACTTCTCCGGGATGGGGGCCGAGAGGACCCTGTTGGTGAAAGGGGTCCTGGTCCTGACCTGGATGATGGGGTCACCTCGCCCCTCGGCCAGCTCCCTCTCCAGGGCGCTAACCTTGTTCATGAGCGCGTTGAGGCCGGGGTCGTTGGAGGCGCCGGCCGTAGGGATGTTGGCCGACTGCTTGGCTTCCATCTGAGCAAGCCTCCTCTCCAGCTGGGCGATGACTTCATCCCGGGGGTCCCTGGCGGCCGCAGCGGCGCCCGGCTGGTTCCTCATGCGCTCGTCGTGAGCCGCATTGATCCGGTGGCGCACATCGTCTTCGTGCAACTTTCCCTTGCCCTTGTCCGGGCGGGGCTGGTCCGCTGTCCGGGACACAGACCCCAAGCTTTCCCTCGGCGAGCCAGGACGAGGCTCACCAATCCGTCCCGCCATCCTCTCCGAAACCGGACGACGGCGCGTGTCACCTAGCCTGTTGAAGGCAGAGGCTTTTCCACGCGCTGAGGTCTGCCCAGGCCGAAGAGGGGAAGCAGGGTGGGAGTGGGACGACGCCGTGTCCTGAGGCACCACCCCCTCATCGTTGCCTACCTGGACGGCCAACGGTTGGGGCTGAGGAGGTTGAGTGACGTTCCCCCCGATCCTTGGCAAGAGTGCGCTGAGGACGGTGGGGTTCTGAGCCAGGCTGGCGATGATGGCCGACAGCGCGGCCTGGACCTGTGGATCCACGGACGGAGAGGCCGCGGCTATAGGCTGGGCCGGGGCGTGATCCGTCTTCTCAGCTCGTTTCTTGTCCAAGCCGAGGCGGGCATCAGGGGCTCCGCCGTTGAGTTGGTTGCGGAGGTCTGTCGTGAGGTTGAAGGCCTCCTGGAAGAGGTCCCCTCCGCCGACCTGGTCGGCCGTGGCGTCCTCATCGTGCTCCCTGGGCTCTTGGTCCTCAGGGATGGCCTTGCTGACGAGGTTGCGGTTTGACTTAGTTCTTCCCATGATCAGTGGTTAGCTGTGCTTGGTAGCGACGAAGGGTGCTAACTTGATTGTTCTAGCTCTCAACGAGAGCACCAAATGATAGAGTGTATCTAGAGAGAAGTGAGAGCTAGAGAGAGAAGTGCAATAATATGCTTCAATAGAATGAATTTGTCACCCCTATAACTACTCCCAAGGGGAGTATTTATAGAGAAAATACGGGCTGGGCTCCCAAACCTTGGGCTTGGGAGGCCCATTTACAACTGGACCGCTACTGGACCGAATACAAAGCCACTAATGGGCTGTACAAATAAGTAAGTGCAAAATCCGGTTCTGTGAGGTCTTCGTGGCCGACGAGGGCGTGGCCGACGAGGGCACGGCCGATGAGGGCACGGCCGACGAGGGCACCCGGGTTCCTTGGGCTCAGGACCACAATCTGAGTTGGCACCTTCTCGGCCGACGGGGGTCCCTTGGCCGACGTGAGCGCCACTCGGTGTCTTGTGCTTTCTGTTCTTCTGAGTATGTGGGTCCAGGGGCTCAGACTCGTATACTCCATCACCTAGTTTTCTTAGATAATGAATTCTCGTATCTAGAAACAACAATTTGGGTTTGCGAATTACTTTATTTTTGAAATCAACGTACTACTTTATCATTCAAGAATGTTACCTTTAAAATTCTAACAAGAAGAAGGTTCAAATGATGCTCTTAATTGAGATTTCTTTTTTATTCCTTTTATTTATCTTATGAATATACTTTTGGTGCACATGCTTTCTATATGAGGGCACTCATTAAAATAGGGTTAGAAAAAAGATTCCCCTTATTAACAACTTTAATTTTCTGACTAAACTCTTTGGTGTAGCCTCAGCTCTTGAATTAATAGTATATATATACCCTTCGGCCAAATGTTTTAGTTTGCATGTAGGAAGAAAATCTTTTTTGCTAAGATGAAATTTAAATTGCATTTGTTGTCCATCCAGATAACCAAAAGCACAAAATGTTCTTATTTACAAATTTCTTTCTCGTGTTTATTTTCAAGTTTTCTGAGAGAATCATTCAAATTTATGATCTAAATATAATACGAGTCTCACTTAGACTCTCTTGATATGCATTGTAGCATAAAACTTCCATTTGTGGATTTGGCCATCTTCCCCAACGTTCTGGTTTGTGTGAATTGATTTGGATGGAGTAGTTGCTGGCCAAGGTTTGAGCGGCGAACAAAGTAAGAAAAATAGGGCGAACAAATTAAGGGATTTGTTGTACGAGTCTCGAGTAACGAGGGTGAAACAATGGGGGAAGGTGCTCTTGGGATCTGTTGTGATGTCAATCGTGGTCAGCGATTTCGGAGGAGGCCGCTGACCTGCGTCGACTAGGGTTGCGAAGCTTGATTTTTCGATACTTGGTTTGGCTATTCTGACTTTGTTGGTTATTGAGATTGAAGTTGCACCAGGTGTGTTTGATCCGGGTGGAACAATGGTGGATTGGGGTCTGATGATAGGGGCAAATTTGGATTCCAATCGGCTAGGTGGGCGATCAGCGCGATTGTTTTGGCCAAATCGGTGGGTGGCCACCTGAGGTTGTTTGTTGGATGTGAAGGGCATAGATCAGCTTGCGATGGAGAGATGGCTGATGTGGCACAGATAAGTCCATAGTCAGGTGTTGGAGAAAGAAGACGAAGAGATGATGATTTGTCTCCCTCATGAATCGTCACCATGGAGGAATTGTGCGGTTAGAGTTTGGAAGAATGTTTTTACTAGTTATATTTGTTTATTTTAAGTCGAGATTGTTTTACTATTTCTATTTTGTTATTTTTATGACAAACAATAAGGAGGTAGGTTGATGTTTTTGTTGGCTTTAGTGGATAGACTTCTCTTTGGAGGCCATCAGGATTCAGCCGTTAATAATCTCGAAGCTGTCATATTTTCAGCTATTAGTCTCACTATTTTTGGGTAGAATTATTTTATACTCCGTCTCTGAACTGAGTGAGCTGCTAGGCTTTTGGTCATTTTGGGTAAGAGGTGGTTACTTTATTGTTTGTAATTGATGTGATTGTACTGCCAGCTTGAAATTAATATACGGAGTAATACGGAGTATATGCCACTTTCCCGTCAAAAAAAATTCATACCTTCGAAATCCAAATCGCATTTCTGTATCGGAGCATCAGGCAGCGCGCCATAGATAGATACGGTACGATTCGATTGTCAATGGAGAACAAAGACAAAGTGAAGCTAGCTCTCAAACTGACAATAGCATCCTGCATCACTCTTGCAATATCCATCTTCCTTGCATCGAAAATAAAAAATCCTGGAAGACGAAGTCGTAGAAAGCTTACACCTTCTCCCTGCTATCTCAAAGCTGAACCCAAACCTCAGCACGCTTTCAGACGCGTCTTGGCGGACAACTCGTACTCTCCCTTCAAGCACCTCAAAGTCCATTCCACCTCCGGTACTTGCCGGGCATATTTTCTAACGATTTTTTTTTTTAATTTGCAATCTTCAAGTTGAAGCTGGGTTTAACGAAATTTGATGTGTTTGACAGATGAATGCGTGGATTTGCATCCGTACAAATCTGAGATATTAAACTTGTTGAGTGAACCGAATGTGGAGGCTTTGGAGATGTTAAACGAGGATTTGGAGGAAATGGTGAGCCGTGATTCGTACGTGTGGGTGGAGACCGAGTCGCAGTTGCAGGAGCTGGCGGAAGTGTTGAGTGGAGAGACAATATTTGCTGTCGATACAGAGCAGCATAATTTGAGATCCTTTTTAGGTTTCACTTGTTTAATTCAGGTTCGAGTTTTATAACTCAATGTTGTGTCTCGATGTAATTGGGCTTAAATATTTTTCGATACAATGTGTTGTATATGCTTCTGCAATACTGAAAATAACAATTGCATTTTTTATGGTGTGGCTTTACATGCCATTACTAGATATCAACTAAGAAGGAGGACTATCTTTTGGATGCAATAGCCCTGCATGACATGATAGGAATTCTTCATCCTATATTTGCTAATCCAGGGATTTGTAAGGTAATTCATTTATCATATACAGAGCAACAAAAGAATCCATGCACCAGATTGATGAAATGTTGATGTTCTGATATGTTTTTTTTTCATTATTGCCTTTTCTCATGATATACTACTTCATATTCCTTGTGTGTTGTCTGCTTTAGGTATTCCATGGTGCTGATAATGATGTCCTCTGGCTTCAAAGAGATTTTCATATTTACGTTGTTAATCTATTTGACACTGCAAAGGTAAAGTTTGTTGATGTTCTAACCTTGGAGCTTCTGTTAAGTGACTAAGAAATGCTAACTACTTTAAAATTGAAATTTTATTTTTAGTGATGTTATATTGCAGATATGTGATGTTTTGTCTAAACCGCAAAGGTCTTTGGCTTACTTATTGGAGACATATTGTTGTGTTGCTACTAATAAACAATTACAGGTAAGGGGTTCATGAATCCCACTGACTTAAGAACATGAGTTGAGGGTTGGGAGATGCAGATTAGTACTTTTAATCTTCTTATGTGTCAATTTAGTTCTTAATAGGCAACTTTGAACCACAAAAGTCTTGTGTCACTTAGGATCCAGGAATGAATCAGCATCAGTGGTTATATTTTCTCAGCATTATTTGCAAAGTATGGCTTAAATGCAGTACTACTATTTCTTTTAGCCCGCATGAATTGAACAATTTTCATCATGGCCACAGGTTGCTCTTATGTGATGGATTATATTCATTAAGATCAATTGAATTTGAACTGCAGAGAGAAGATTGGAGGCAGCGTCCTCTGCCAGCAGAAATGGTGCTATATGCTCAGAATGATGCCCACTATCTGTTGTATATTGCACAATGTCTTTTTACAGAGCTCAAGCTAAAAGATTCAGGTACACTAGCTTCTATATTTTTATAGCTATTTATAGTCCTCTTCCATATACCACACATGAGCATGTTTTTGTTGACAAAGTGTCTTTCCTTAAGAACTTTGTGGCTCTATGTGAGGAGTAGGATGGCTTGGAAAACATAGGGGCCGTTTTCCAACTGGAAAATTCTTCTTTGTTTTTTTAGGAAACTGGAGAACGGAAAACTATAAAACATGTTACTTTAGTGTTTTCCAAAATTAGGAAAATGGAAACATGTTTCTAATAACTCCAATATCTCCAAATTTGGGGAACTCATTTTAGTTGTTCTTCAAAACAGGAGATTCGGTAAACTTGATGCTGCAGTTATGGATGGGCACATTCCATTCCAGACTGAAAAATTGGATCAAACCGTACCGGTCGCTCTAGATTGGACCTGGACTGATTACATACCGGTCCAGTCAAATACTGAATACTTAGGTCTGGACCGGTTGGAGTAGTGTTGGACCATAATTAAATTACTACTACGTATTATGTATTTAAATATGTATCTAAAATATATTAGTATTTGAAAAATATTAAGAATTAACATAGATTTAATTTAATTAAAGTATTTATACAAGAAAAGTTTTGTATTTACAAAATTTGGTAGCGCAAAGTCAAAAGACTTGCTGCGGTACAAAAAATGGTCAATCCAGACAGCTGGAATAATCCGGTCCTGGACTGTCATTATACTGGCCATTTTTGGTTCCAATAATTTTAGGAATTTTGGCTCTGGTGCGGTCCGTTTTAGGCCAGTGCCGACCCCTAGCTATAGTACGCTCTCGGGGTGGGCATGATTGTACCAGAACAGCTCAGGTAGACACCGGGTCGGAACAGGTCATCCAGTTTGGGACCAGAACTAGGACATGTCGGGGTAGGTCAGGTACAATACCAATATAAGTTCTCGGGTGTGGTACTAATATACGTATTATAGTACCGGGTTGAGGTAGAGTGAGCAACTACGGTGCCTGTATATGGAATAGGGAAACATAATAGTGGGTACAGTTCCAATATGTGTAGTAGGGGTAGGGTACCAGACTACCAGTATACATAATATCTTTGCAATGTAGATATTTGAAAACATATCAGAAAAACGTGAACACCATTTATGGACACGGAAAATTGGAAAACATAAACAAAAACAGGAGAATGAAAAACACAAAATAGAAGCAAAGAGGAGGATAAATAGGTAAATGAACTCTTATAAAATTGTATAATGATGAGCCCTCTTTCTAGGTGAATACAAATAAACCTATCATAATTATAATATTGATCTTACCATAACTACAAGATTAATAAAAAATAACAAATTACTATAAACAATTATTTACAACTGAAAGGAAGTAATATACGCATATATTATAAGGCGTAGTTCTAGTGAGAATGACACTTCGTGGTGCACATATGGTTCACCTTGGTGGGTACTTACACTCTGAGTAGTGTGAATTGGTGTGTAGGATTGTTTTAATTATTTACAAAAATGTCACATCTTTTTCATGGTTTATGACAGTGCACATTCCATCTTTTATAGTGCTCATTTATCAAATGTAGCTGACAAGATGCATTCATATTTATCACATTAGATCACATTCTCATTTCTTTCATATCTATATATACGGACAGGCGGGTGAGTACATTTATACTTTACCCCCTACCCCCAATTGAGCTTAATAGCTTCCCTTAAGAGAGAGGGGTCAGTGGGATTCCATCAAAAGAAGCTGATATACCCCCATCCAAATGTCTCATACTACCTCCGTCCCGTTGAAAGGTTCCCATGGCATAACGGCACGATTATTTAGACAATAATTATATAAGGTAATTCGAGTATATTTTGAGAAATAATTTTAGTAGGTATATAATATAATGTGGTTAGTGTTGATAGATGTGTTGTTATAAATGTATTATTTTTAATATTTAATGACAAATTTGTCATTTTAGATTGTTAATTGTTTCCTAAAATGGAAATGAGATCCTTTATATGGGACGTCCAAAAAGGAAAGTGGGAAACTGGGAACCTTTCTATGGGACGGAGGGAGTATTTGTTTTGTACTCTGAGAGTTGGTGGCTTTAATTTTATAGGTTGCTTATCTAGCCGCACATCCTAATAATGTATTGAGTTTGCTTTTACATATACAGAACATTCACGAAGTCTCAATGAAAAAATGACTTTTGTTCTTGAGGCCACCCGCCGTTCAAATACAACTTGTTTGCAACTTTTTTCAAAAGAACTTGAAGCAAATCCAGGAGAGTCTGCTGCTTCTTCAATAATATCTCGAAACCATGACCAAGGAAACCTTCTATCCAGCTCTTTAAATGCAAAGGTTTTGTTATTTAGTAGACTTTGTTACGTATCAATAAGCATTATTGATTGTGACCTATTTTTTCTTTTTTGTGGTATTCAGTTTCAGGATCACGTGAGGCAATTATGTGCATGGAGAGATATTATGGTGAGTGGATAACTCAACTACAAAATAAAATATTACTATAAAATTATATGCTATTGATACACACTTTCATTATCTTCTTTTGCTTTCATTTATTTCTCTGTGAAATCAGCTGTCATATTTATCTTGTTAGTTGGAGATAGAAAGTTTTCATCTGAATTTCACAATATTATTTGATATTCTTTTAGGCACGTGTGCATGATGAGAGTTTGAGATATGTTTTATCTGAGCAAGCTATTGTTGCACTGGCTGCTAACCCCCCTACAGAAATTAGTGATACATGCAATATCATATCTGAAGCCGATGCAAGCGCGGATCAGATAACACCACCCCAATCTCCATCATCTTTAATTTGTAGCCATTTGGAAGACTTGGATCACTTATTTGAAGATGGAATAGATGAGGATGATGAAAACCTTCTGCTAATTCTTCAGAAATGCTTAGGAACTAATGGGACTTGTCCTCTCTCCATCTATAATTATGCTTTGCTCTCCAAAACTAGCTTGAAAGTAGCCAATCGATCTGTGGTCAAGAAAAACGGATATAGAACTGCAAAATCCATGGCTCGAAAGGCTTCCCGGGAATTGTTTGTCCAAAAATTTTCTTGTAAATCTCCAGTCTACCACAATTGTAGGATCTATGCAAATGATGGTCGGTTATTATGTTACTGTGACCGTAGGAAGCTTGAGTGGTTAGCTCTTTTTCAATCATGCTGTATTTGCACCCTGTGTTTACCCAATATATGACTTTACATCCCATATTCTATTTTATTTGACCCTACAACCCGAGTGGCCGAGTGGGGTGCAAAGTTAAATAATGGGGATAAATTTGTGGTTCAATTGCCAAAGTTCTGTCAGACTTTACACCTTTTGTTTGTTATTTGACATTAGCACACCTGAGGTGCAAAGTCAAAGAACATAAAACAAGGTGTAAAGTCAATCTGGGGGTAAACATAGAGTATCAATTAATTTGCACACACATAAATACTTACAATTTATTTTTTTACCTTAATGTAGGTATTTAAACAGGGATTTGGCAAAACTTGTTGAAGAGGACCCTCCTGCCATAATGCTTCTTTTTGAACCTAAGGGACGTCCAGAAGATGAGGACAATGACTTCTACATTCAAAGTAAGAAAAACATATGTGTTGGCTGTGGTGAAAGGAATCACTATTTACGGTACCGTATTATACCTTCGTGCTACAGAATGCACTTTCCAGAACATTTGAAGAGTCATCGGTCTCATGATATAGTCCTCCTTTGTGTGGACTGCCATGAAATTGCTCATGCTGCTGCTGAAAGATTCAAGAAAAAGATAGCTGTGGAATTTGAAATACCACTTTTTGTCCGTAGAGTTGTTCATTCTACCCCAGCTGAAAATGCAACTTCATCCAGTGTGAATGTGGAAGAGGATGGTGTATCACCTTTACAATTGCATACAGCAGCAATGGCTTTGCTGCGTCATGGTTCCAGAATGCCATTGAGGCGACAAGAAGAACTAAAAGAGGTTGAATTTTATGTTATTCTCTCATTGAAAAAAAGACTTTCTTTGGGTAGCAGGTCAAATTGATTTTAAGTCAAATTAATGTGACTTTTAAAAATTGCAAGTCAAATTAATCAAGGGATTAGCTTCTAAAAATTTAGGACTGGTCATTTATACCCCTAAAATTGATATCCAAGATTGTGTAGACTTTGGAGCAATTGACTAAACCCGCTTGCCGCTTGGCTCTACTGGAATTTTACTTCAAAATGAAAGTTGACTTTGAAACCCAGACTTTTTTTCGTGACAAAAGAAGTACTCTGACGGAGAGAGTATTAGTTATTACGGATTTAAAAACATTTGCATCAGTGCTGTTGTTCATAAGAAATGATGCAAATGTTGTAGACTTCTAAGCTCTTACAATCTCGTCAAGTTATGTGCATCATGGTTTCATATTCTGAGCATCTTGCTTTCTTATTTTGTACAATGTTCACCAGCTATCACTAATTATGTAGTCCCCTAAATAGTAGCCCTTTTAGAGAAGAAACATATTTTTCAAACATGTCCCATTTCCAAATTTTGCAATTGTCCTTCGACCATAAATGCTCCATTGTACTTCGTATAACCTTAATGCATTGATGAGGAATATTCTAATCAATTTTTAAGTGAAATAATTGATTTATTTATATGTGCATGAAGACCTTAAGTGACAGTGATTTGAGAACAGGGGGAGCACCTGTGAAGTGTAATTTCATCACATAGAAAGATTATTAATGCTAAAATGTGCATATTCGCATATGTATTACTGTATTGCAGGTTGTAAGAAATTACTATGGAGGAAGGGAGATATCAGAAATAGATCTAGAAAATGCTTTGCTAATAGGTATGAGTTCCATTGGGAGAAGACGGTTTGTGAAAAAGAAGCTTTCTTCCAAACAGTCAACACCATATGTTGCTTCTGATCATAACAATCACAAGCCAAGTAGTGATGCCAATGCAAAGTCTACGTATGAGAATGGCATATTAGGTGGAACTGAGAAAAGGTGGAATAATGGGAATACAAACACTGTGGTGTTGAAGGATATAGATTTTGACAATCGATGTTCGACTTCTAATGCTGAAAGTGGTAGTATATACACTGAAAGTGATATAGTTCACTCTAATAATAATGTGAACGATTCATCTAAGGTACACTCGAAGGTATCAATGTTGGGGCATGGACCACATGGGAAGCAGGTGGTGGAATTTATACTCCAAGAGAATGGGGAAGAAGGGATTTGTGAGTTTTGTCAGAGATGGCGACAAGTTTTTGTTGAAGCTGTTCATCCTCGTTTCTTACCTGCTGGCTGGAACATAATGCACAGGTTGGGAGTATTTCTGATGATCATACACAACTTATTTTTCATTCGTGTCCGCCCTATCGTAAAAGAATATGGAGGATGGGGTTGGATGATCTATATGGGGTTTTAATCGATCGAAAATAAAATAAAATAGTCACTTAGCTTCTTCACACGAGGATGGATGGGTAGATCATAGATGGTCAAATTGAATTTAAGAAAATCATATTGTTTACTTTGATTTCCTCAAATCCCTTTTAAATTCATGGTAAATGTTACTATAGAATACACTGTTTTAATAGTGCTTGAATCTGTAAAATTATTGTTATTTGAGGGTGTAGAGTAAATTGAGAAAAAAACTTTACCAAAAAAGGAAAAGTACTTTATTTAGAAATTTTCCAAGAAGGAATACATGAACTTGATAATCGAGGCAGAAAAAGTTTTTTCACTTGGATTTAATTTTATTGTGAAATGGTTTTGACGTTGGACCTTTTTTTCTTCTATTCTTCCAGTGGTAAAAGAGACTTTGGAGAGTTTAGCGTCTATAATCCTGAGAAAATAGATTCTACTGGTGCCTTGAGTAGATGAGGAACTGCAAGGACAGGACAGATCAAGCAAAAGCTCATTTCATTTCCCCTTGTTTTTCTCCGTTTCATTTGCTTTGCCTGGTCTTTTGCAATGGAAAATGGAGCTCGAATTACTTCACAGATTTTGTTTTTAATGTAACATATGTATCTCGGAATGTTGTCATGTAGACCTGTTGTCATGCATTAGTGCGTCACTAGCTTTTTAACAATAGGTTAATGTATTTCCGCAACATTTTTTGTAACAAGAGAAACCAAAGAATTGTATAAATGCTTTTAAGATTACAGTAAGCTATAATTAGGAAGGCATTCTACAATCTACATTGTGGCTCTTGTCCGTCCAATGATAGAAATTGTATCAGAATGTGTTACGTTTTACCAGCTTGGTTTTCAGGCAGTGTAGAAGCGACTTCCCACTTCAGTTAGTGATGGACTCGGGCTGGGTCGGGCCCGGTCGGGCCGCCGGTTTGTATGACATGGGCCCGGGACCGGCCCGAGGGTTGGACGGGTCCGGTTCGGGCCGGGTCGGTTAAAGTTTTTTTTATATAATTTATATTTTATAGTTTATAGTTTTATACGAGTATTAAAAACAAACTTCAAGTGCATTTATTTGAAATGAAATAGGAACTACATTTGAAAATTAAAACAAACTTTAAGAGAAATATTTTGAAAATTGTAATCAATCGGAACTTCTCGCACCTCCCGATCCTTTGGCTTTGTCACATACTTCATATGCTTGATTGCCATCCCGTATCCGCCTGAAACCTCTGTGCTACATTTTTTCTCGCACCATTTGCAAATTGCGTACCACATCCCGGTCTTCGGGTCCTTCTGCTTATCAAAATTATACCGTATAATGGCATCTTGATTTTCCATCTTAACTTCTTAAGTATAAACTATAAAGTAGATATATAAATAATAAATATAATATATTGGAGAATAAGAGAATTAGAGAGTAGAGAGTTAAGAATAGGATTTAGGAAGAATTAGAGAAGAGATATGAAAAAATGTTCAAGATTAGGAGTATTTATAGGTTTTTTTACCCCCCACCCCCCCACCCCCCAACCCCCCCGGACCCCCCTTGCACCCCACCCAACGGCTATATAGCCGTTTGGGTTGTCCCCAGCCCACCCCCAACGGCTAGTAGCCTAGTACCAATTTAAAAAAAAAAATTAAAAAATCAGACCGTTGGCCCGGACCCGGGCCCGACCCGGCCGGGCCGGGTCACATTTATCCGGAACCGTGCCCGCCCCGTCCATTCCCACCGGTTCAGGTCCAGACCCGGTCCCGGACCGCCCGACCGGGCCGGTCCCGGGCCCGCACAGTACCGAGCCGGGTCACGAGCCGGGTGGCCCGAACCGAATCCAACACTACCACTCCTCGGAGAACCAGATTGGAAACTCCCAGTTACAAGTTCTCATTCAGGAACAATTTCTCATTCAACACCAATTGGTGTCAAGGATTTCTTGTAGGGGTGTCCATAGTTCTGTTACATACTCCGTAAAACATACTAGCTGGTCCTTGGAGGACCTACATTTCCGATTTTGGGCTGATCACCCGCCAGTCCCGGTTCGGTCTTGTTTTTTTTTTAATTTGTTTTATGTTTTTGAACCCTCCATCCCTTCTCCACCTTTAAATGCACTCCCACCTCCTTTAAGGAATGTTTGTGATTTTTTGAAGTGATTTTGGAAAAAGTGTTTAATAATAAAAGTTAGTAGTATTTGAGAAAAAAATACTTTTGAAAAACTAAAAGTTAGTAATGTTTGATAAAATAAGTAAAAGGACCTATTAACCCGCTTCCAATTTTTAGCTTTTAAGTGCTTAATTTAAGCCAAAGTTGTCACTTGAAAACATCAAATTCAGCTTTTTTTAAAGCCAAATGCTCAAAAGCACATTTTTAAATTTTTTGCAAACACTTCGCTTCCCATTAGTCCAAATGCAAAAACGGACTAGTATTGGGACTGTATAGGCTTGTCCCAAATCCCAATCCTAAAAATTGAGATTTGGGAGTTGGGACAGGGACTTCTTTCCCATAGGTACCGTGACTACCGTCCCAAGTACTGACCATTCCTGGACTGGGACCTAATCCACCTCTAGTTTCGCGTAGTCCTCATCTGGTTTTGGCTTGAAATGATAACAAATTCATTTCAAGGCAAAATAATCATATATGATCGGTGTACTACAAATTTATCATACCTAAGTAATCTAGCTAGTGCCACACTGCCATAGTTCATGATCTTTTTTTTACAGCGTTCAGAACATAGAATATGTTATATCATCAAGGAAATCACGAGCAATACTGTGATTCCAGAGAGTAGTTGCAATTAATGCTAGGGAAAATGGAAACTAATAATCCAACCTTTTAGCGGTCTTCTTACAATAGTCTCCAACCTTTTGATTATTCAGGAATAATCCAACCTTTGCACCCCATCTTCATTCAATGGTCCCTGACTGGTTGATGACCTGCTATTTCAAGTTATTTTCTTATCTTTTCAAAACATTATGTGACCATAAGGTGAGATTTATGGTATAATATATTGCAAAGATAAGAAAATAACTTGGAATAGCAGGTCATCAACCGGTCAGGGATCATTGAATGAAGATGGGGTGCAAAGGTTGGATTATTCCTGAATAATCAAAAGGTGGGGGACAATTGTAAGAAGAACGCTAAAAAGTTGGATTATTACTTTCCATTTTCCCTTAATGCTATAAGTATAAATGATTTACTATCTTAATGTAGGCTCAAAAACTAAAATGTGTTTATCAAGTGAAACAAGAGCCACTTTGATTTGTGTTTAACATAAAGATCTCATAACATAGGTTCACATTTAGCAATCTTCTATTTCTCCTTTTCTAACAAATGAAGCACCTAAACTCTGATGCATCCTTGAAAGTTGAAACTATCCATCATGCCTCCACCTCAAAACGAAGTACAAGTTGTGCCCAAATTGTTGTGCTTTCCGAACAAGTGATGGAAGAAAAGAAGGGCATACCCAGTCACATTTAAATACTAAAGAATTAGAGGAACAAAATATGAGACTTGTGGTTGATGCCGTTGAAGATAAACGTCCCGCGCATTGGAACAAATTGTCTTGTGATTAACTGTAATTGAGCAATGCAAAAAAAATTACTCTTATTTTTGTATAAAGACAAAGTTATAGGGTGGCCACAAAGCAAATCCCTCATGGCTTGTAATGAGCGCCTGACATTTTTAAAACGTACACAAGGTTTTCGCAACACCGAATACAGAATTTTAGACAAGTAGACAACCAATGAAGGGCAGATTAAATCCAACTCCTAAATAAGCCGCCTCAAACCACAAGGAGGGCTCTACGCAAACTCCCATCATACCAAACTATAATGTTGTTCTAAATTGGATGAAGGTAGAATCCTTAATATGAGAAGCTTACCTCATACGCACAAACGATGTGGGACACTCAACAAGGATAATAAAGAAGTAGGTGTTTACAATACACAAATGCTAACCTTGATCACTTCCTGCGATGCAATTCCTCCAATGAAGGCGGCTACAGCATGAAGCTCGGCAGCACCATATCTGCACATCTCATGAATAAGGTCCTCCACCAACGTGGACCAGTTGCAACCCAAGTCGTTCAGTAGGGTGACAGCGGTAGTTTTCAACCTGGATATGTCCTCATCCATCTCCCTGTCCGCAGAAAATATAAAAACTAGAGTATTTATCTTATCTACTCCCAGGGAAGTTATATATATCACGGTGATATATACAATAAGCATTTACCCATCTAGTTGTCCGGGGAATTTATTATAGTTTGCAAAGAAGCGGTCAGCTGCTCGAAGTAAAATATAGAAACTCACTGCAATACTGCACCAGGTAAGACACTTCAGGAACTCAGGCAGATAGGACTAGAGAAGAGATAAAATCAATGGGTGCAAATAAAGTTAGTAGTCTGAGCCCTCCGTACAGCATCTTCCAACATAAACAAGTAATCAACACTGCCAAAACAGTTTATGGGACTAGAGAATCTAATGGTTGTGAAAGCTACAACTATAATGTCTCAGCATACAAGAAAACTTAAGCAGGACAATTATTTTTGGGTGTACATTTCTTATAGAGAATCCACCATAAACCGCAGGGTTCTTGCTTGGATAAACTTACTTTTCTGAAAAGACTTTAAAGGGGTTGGCTTCATAAACTTACTTTTCTGGAAGGACTTTAAGGGGGTTGGCTTCTTGTATATTCCTGCTTATTCGTATCAGAAAAACAATCAAAATATTATCAAAGAATCACCTATCTGCGATCATTCTAGATATTCCCTCAGAACGTTGCATCAAGCACTAGAGACATCAATTGTCATAAAAGTGGCTTTTCGAACACTATCTTCTCCTATATACTAAAACTAATTTGATATGAACGTCTACATACCTATACTCCTCATCTGTTAAATACTTTTGCAACTCTGGTTGGGCTGGGGACCTGAACTCCTCCTCAAGGGAGCGATATCTGCAAACCTGAGAAATCACAGAATAAATATATAACATTATTTAACAAACATCATTTGATAGTTATTATATGTATACATAATGACGGATAAAAGTCTGCGAAACCAGTTTATGATCAATAATTGCAATTTTCATATTAGAGCCTTCCAAAGAAAAACAAAAAGTGATTGACGGTCTGGAACAAAGAAAAATCCTAAAAGATAGTCTGTTTTGTAAACTAAAACTTTGTTCAGGTGAAAAGTGGTACTTCCAAAATAGATAGGTGTCCCACTCCCTCAGTAGTCTGTACTATTTTAACATCCAAAGCATGCAAACACAGCCACATGTAATCAAACTTTTCGTGAATAGCTCCAAGAAAAACAAACATTTGAGCTGGAGTCAGATCATACCAGCACGCTAGAAGCAACAATGCTAGTTCCATAAAAATCAAAACTATAGTTTTACTATTTACAGCATTTCAATCAAGTCAAAATACAATATGACATATTCACAATCACTCCTTTTGTTTTGCTATTGCTCATGCTTGTTTACCAATACATGTTCAACATTCACACTCTTTGCTGTGGCAATGTTGGAAGATACACATTGCAGGTCAGATGTTTGAAACTAGATGTGGGTAGTGGCTAATGTTCAGGTGACCAACATTGTATACTGTAGAAGTGTAGGGCCTGTAGGCTAGAACTTTCCGTACTTCTAGTCTTAGTTTTTCTATAAATGGGAAATATTACCATATTTTGTTTATATGATATTTGTGCTAGCTTCTAAATTATTACAATGGATAATGTTGAGTATCCCTCCAGAGAGCATATACTCTCATCCCACCACTTGCAATGATTGCATTGAGAGGAGGGGGGCACCACCTGCACTCTGAGTGTCAAGAAGTAAAGTAAAATAGGAGCACATGCTGTACATCTCAACTCCATTAAAGTTTAATAAAAGGAAGTATTTGCTCTATTTTAGTTTAAGATGACAGGTTCAAAGGCTACATCCTGTTATCCAGTGCATATAAGTGCACACAACAGGATTAATGTACTATAGAATGTAACTAATGACACAAACACAAACCCTATAGGAAGCGTTTATTATGGATAAAATGGAACAGGACCCTTTTTCATAAGAAGTGTATCCCAGATAAGTTTATATAAAGACAATACTAAAATTGCTATGAGTGTAAAATTGTGGACGTGATGGTGGAATGGAGCGACTAAATATTTCTTAGGTGTTTTGATTTGCATATAAAGGATGCTCATTTTCTTCTAAAGGAGGCTCATTATATGTTCTACATATGATTATCATGGTACATCCGGATGTACATGTACCATATATGAAATGTGTCATTCCAAGCAAGGTTGTTAAAATCGCGATTTGAATCGTAAAATCATACGATTTTACAATTCAAGCACATCTAAACGATTTCTCGCATCCAAAATCGTTTTTCAACAAAATCGGAAAAAATCACAATTGAATCGTTTAAAATCATCTTTCCATCATTTGCAATGGAGCCAAAGATTCATTATTTTTTGGCTTGAGATTATGATGGAATAAAACAAAATGGCTCACTAAACTGTCTGCGCTTCTTTGTTATCGAGCAGTAGTCAGTCCATGCAATCTTGGACGCGATTTTCACTATGGGTCATCCGGAAACAGTCTCTCTGTGCTTTAGTACAGGGGTAAGACTGCGTACATCCGACCCCCCCTTACCTCACCGTAGGTGGGAGCCTTTGCGGCACTGGGGTAAATGAAAATGAAAATGAAATGAAATGAATCGTTTAAAATCGCTTGGAATCACGACTTTGATATGACCTTACGATTTAAATTAAATGTCCAGCCCAACTAAATCCAGGATAAGCCAAGGCCCAATTCGCGTCTATAGGCCGGACAACTAGCGTAAGGCCTTGTGTCTTTGTAGCTGCTAATGTGGATTGGAAGATCAGCATTAATTTATCGGATTATTGAGAGCAGCGAAATCCTTCTTGTTCTGGTGTGGGACGAAAAACAATTGAGAAGCAAAAAAAATCCTGATGAAGGAGTAAAAGTCAGCCATAGTTGTTGCAGGGAATCAAACCCACGTCTTAATCAATCCAAAGCCTCTACTAATCCACCTTCACCAACTCAGCAGCGTCAACTATTGTGTACTACAGACCTATTGGCTATTAATTATGTTTTGATTCCTTCCAAATTCCAGCTTAGAATTATACTTTAGTTAACTAATTACTTATTATGAGCTTTTATAAACCCAAAATTGTGAAACAAAAGCTTATTATTTGACTTAATAATGTTAAATTGTGGGTTTCCTTTTATCTAATATTTTTGTTTTGTATTTTATATAAAATCTTACGACTTACGATTCAATTTTACGATTCAATTTTTAAATCTCTGTAACGATTTGATTCAAAAATACGATTTTAACAACCTTGATTCCATGTCACTCTAGTTCTCTATAAATCATGAAAAGTCAAAAAAAAGCATGCTAGCAATGCATGTGATCTAAGTAGAGCTTACTTCAAGCTTTCTTGCGTTCTTACAGAAGCTCTTTATGGTTTCCTTTGATATACTACTTGGATCTCTACCGATTCTCTGGAGTATATCCCTCACGCGTTGCTCCACAGCAAGGAAATCAGCCTCAGCTTTGGCTTGGTAAATATTTTGCAGATTGACATATAGCCTGTAGAGGAAGCATAGAAATTTTATCCTTGAGACACTAAAGGCATGCTCTGAAATAGGTATTACTCACTCGGTGGAAGAGGTCATATCCGGAATTGATCCCTCTAGAGGTGCCTCTCCATTACCTTCATTAGCAATAAATTCCTAGCACATGCACAAAAAGATCATATAAGCTTGGACTCCTCCACTTTAGTATAGGAGAACCAGTAACCGAGTTCACCAAACAGTTATTAAAAGAGTTTCTAAATATTCATGCATAAATGTATTTAGGGAAAATTCCTGAAATAGGAGTAAGAATGTTTGGAAATTCCAAAATGGGACTGCTATGTTTTTCTTTCCGAAATAGGAGTAACATGACAGTATTTATTGCCAATTTGGAGTCAATAGTCCCAATACTGCCAAAATAGTTGCAGTACTAGGCATTAACATGGCAGTTATTGCCCTTGATGATAGTATTTTTCAATGATGGTAGTAAGACTCCTATTTTGGGAAGAAAAACATAACAATCCTATTTTGGAATTCCAGAAAGTTTTACACCTATTTAGAGAAATTTCCCATGTATTTATAATACACACAGTGTGCATGAGGAACCCATGACATGCTTTCATCATTAAGAGACATCGAAAATGGCAATAGTTTTCCTCAAATAGGGAAAAAGATGTCTTTTGTATTTAAATAGAGAGACCTTACTAAGTAGTTATATTATCAAAAATATACACATTACAGAGTAATGAAGTAGTCAGTCTATAATTGTCTGAGTTTCAGCTTTTTCTCTTTGACCTTCACCTGAAAAAATGATGATTACCTTTAAAGCTGCCACCATTATCCAAAAGTCTGAGGATTTAGAATTTACTTCGGCAGAACTGTCATTAATTATTTGCTTAATGCTTGAACCTGAGATGGACGAGTAGAAGTTAAATCCACTGATCATTATCTTTCAACTACGGCATGCTAAGGCCACCATTAACATACAAGCATGTTGGTATATTAAAGGCAGTATTATATGGTTTAACATGAAATGCTCTGAAGGTGTGTGTACACATGCCCATAGATACATACATACATACATATATATGTATAGAATTAATTCCACTTTTGGCCATACGAGTTTTGTGCCAATTCTACATTTAGTCCACGACTCCACGTATTTCACTTTGTCCACTTTTGGTACTTGACTAACGTTTTTTAACCGTTTGTGGTCCTTTGCTGGCGATTTTAACCATCGTAAACAATGCCGGAAGGACCATATATGGACGAAAACACAATAATCATGTATCAAAAGTGGACAAAGCAAAAGATGTGGACTAAATGTGAAATTGACCTAAAACTCGAAGGACCAGAAGTGGAATCTATTCTATATGTATACAAATACATAAAGGCAGTTCCAGTGAGCAAACTTCTTTCGGTGAGAAATGAAAATGGTGCACATTTTGGTTCAAGGAATTGCACTTATATGGTTGAGATAAATAGATAATGCACATTTTGCATCATCATCATCATCATCATCATCATCATCATCATTACCCTAGTGGCGCAAAGGCTCTCACCTACGATGGGGTAAGGGGGGGCCGGATGTACTCAGTCTTACCCCCGTACTAAAGCACAAAGAGACTGATTCCGAATGAGCCATAGTGAAAATCGAGTAGAAAAATACATGGACTGACTGTTGCTTCACAATAAAGAAGCGCAGACAGTTTAGTGAGACATTTTGCTTTATTCCATCATATTCTCAAGCCAAAAAATAGTGAATCTTTGGCTCCATTGCAAATGATGGAAAAGTAATTCACATTTTGCAACAGTAGAAATTTTCACTTTATTTACAAAAAACGCCACTGAATTTTTTCATTCATGAGTATACATTTCAATTTCAAAAAATGCACAACTCTCACATCCAAGATCCAGATTCAACATCATTTCTTTCTCACTTGAGATGTTTTTACTTGAACTTAGATTTTCTGGTCTGAACTGGTATGATAGATGTTCGGTCTTTGTGTATTTTACAACTGTAGAAGTCTGGTCTGATCTGTTAAAGTCTGGTTTGGTCTCTTTAAGTCTGGTCTGGTCTAGGTATGAAATAAGTCCTAAATCTAACCATTCTTGATCCTAAATCTAAACATATATATACACACAGATATGTACAATATATATAGAGAATGGTTAGATTTAGGACTTATTTCATACCTAGACCAGACCAGACTTAAAGAGACCAAACCAGACTTTAACAGATCAGACCAGACTTCTACAGTTGTAAAATACACAAAGACCGAACATCTATCATACCAGTTCAGACCAATTTGCATATATAGAGAATGGTTAGATATATTGTATATAACCATTCTTGATCCTATATATTGTACATATCTGTGTGTATATATATGTTTAGATTTAGGATCAAGAATGGTTAGATTTAGGACTTATTTCATAAGTCCTCATGGACTAATAATAATATAGAGAATCGATCTCACCAATTTGCCTGAAAGGATGGACTTCATTTGTGGCCAAAACTAATCAAACAATACAGATTTTTTTACTCAATAGTATCAACGATTAGTTATAGGTGTTAGATCATTAGAAAATTATTTTTTACATAAAATAATTCCTTTTTAATGATAAAATGATCTAAACTGTTACAAAATTGAGTTTGTAGGGCGTCTCTCTAAGAACAAATTCAAGATCTAATGGTTGAAACTTGAAACTAATAGATAATACTACAACAAAAACCGCCTTAATCCCAAAAGATTTTGGAATCTGCTAACAGATAATACTAAATGAATCATTGACTTCATTTTTATCATAAATGTAGTTCAACTGGCGAGAATAGTAGAATACTACTCATTTAGAGAATAATCAGAATATGTGTACACACACATAGTGCAGAGTGTGAACTCGTTCTTATACTACAATACATGATTAGCCAGACTAACTCAAAAAAATTCTAGAGGATTAAACACTTACTAATTCCACGAGGACTAAATACTTTGTATGAAGCTGACATTGCCTCTTTGTAGTTGTCTTCATCATTTGCCATCATTCGAGATTTAATTAAATCCTGAGAAATAAAAAGGATATGCATACCGCCTTTGTAGACATAGAGTATAATGGACAAAATATCATTAAGACATGGAAGAAATGGTATATTTTAATATATATATGCGTGTGCATGTGTGTGTGTATTCCTGACCTTTAGTTCTTGTTTACTATTCGAGGTTGATGTAGGTTTTCCAGCATTAGTACAGGCCAACTGCTCAGCTAACTTTACAAGAATGATAACATATGGAGTGTGCTTATGAAGTACCAAGTCAGATGTATTCAGATCAATTGATTCAGCAAACCTGTCAGGTGATAAGTGCCTTATCAGAACCTCAATCGGAGGACATGCCCGAGTATACACATACGAAAATTATTATGCTTAATGGTTTACAAATCAGTAAGCATGATAAACCACAAAGTACCATCCATAAAGCAATTTCTTATAAGGCAAACCTTTGCAATTCCGGCCATGGATTGTTGAGCCTAAGGTTGTCCATAAAGTTATCAGGCTTGGATTCAATCACAGCATGTTCCTGAATACATCAATTTCAAGAAGAGAAGCTTCCAGCATTTAAAGTCAATATTCAGAAGTGCCTAAAAAGCATTATCATTTTCTCTTTTTTAGAAGTGATTTTCTCATTGACCATATGAAGGAAACACATCAATTTCAAGAAGCTTTAAATGATTACACCCAAAATAATAGTCAGTCGTTAGTATGGAGTAACATTTTCAGCCAAAGAGAAACCAAATGAATGGTCCAAAAACATGACCTAGGAAAGATCAAATAACACGGAGTGAAGGTCGGTACTAAACTACTAATAACATGGCACATGCACACATAAACTTTTACGCAATGTAAGAGGGGTTGTACACAAACGTTAACAATATTTATGTGAAAATTATTGATCCTTAATATATATATATATATATATATATATTACACAAACTTTAAAAAGTGAAAACTGATCATGTGTGTTCTCTCTCTCTCTCTCTCTATATATATATATATATACACACACACATATATATAGTACACACATATCAGGTCAAATTTTAAGTGACAGAAATGTTGCTTAGTTGAAAAATGAGAATGAATATAGTGCATTAAATTCTAGATCTAATGACTCGAAAAATGAGGGAAAATGAAAAACTAACACAGTGACATAATTGTAATTAAGTGCAACTTCAGCCACCATATTCATTTGAAAAGTGCACATGGTGACACTTATGAGTGCAACCACCCCATTTATGTGTGTGAGTCTATATATACATAATGTTTGCACATAATTGTAACCGTGTATGTAACTCTTAAACATGTGTCTAGTTTTAAGACAATGTGCCAGGACTTGTGCACAACATTAAACAATGTTTATGTGAAAAAATATTGATCCATAATACACTTAAACAAACACATATATATTGGATCTGTTAAATAGTGCTGCTTATGAGAAAAATGAGAATGAATATAGTTCATTAGATATTGAGATTGTAGATCCAATGAAAATGAGAATGAATTCCAGCAAACATGTTCATGTGAAAAGTGCACACCCGATACTTACAAGTGCAACCTCATGTGTGTGTATTTAGTAAGGTAAATGAAAATTTTATCATTGATATATTATCTATTTACTTAACATGAAAGGGAGTTTAATAAAAATAAAGAATAAAAAGAAATCTAACATAAATAAGACCATTTAATTAATGTTAATTATAAAATATTAAAATAATGATGGAAGCTTATAATTAATTTTGTACTTATGGAGCACAATAATTGAAATGATACTCATAAAGCACTATGTGTTACAATTTATGAAAGCCAAAATATTAAGTGCTTTAACTACAAATTAATGGAACTTCGAAGAACACAGGGATGCTTCTGCCAAGAATAAAAATCGAAGGTTCTAATGCATAGCACAACTAAACCCTTCAGACCACAAAGATGCAGCATGATCTAGTGTACGAGTTAAGCTGTCACTCATGGAGATTCTTAGAGATATTCATGGCTCTATGGAGCAAATATATTATCAGCTATAGCGTCATGTTAAAACATGTTACCTTCACACTGATCCTTACAAGGCCCGTGAGTCCATAGGACCGTGCAAATACTAAAATGACATTGGCCTCCCTACAGATTGTATCCAATTTCATCATTGAATCTTCACTCAACTGAAACAAAAAGCAATGCGTAAAATGAAATAATTAACTGAATCACACAAAACTATGAACATGATCATTTTGACCATGTTAGAGCAATCTAAACTCAGTTTCAACCGCTGAAAACATTCAACATAAGGTAAAACTTAAAATATATGCTCATTGCACTCCTCATGAGTGCAAGAGACCTAAAGTTATTTTTTAGTGAGTAAGTAAATCTTCTCTTATTCCCTTTTTCTAAATGATTTCAGTTTCATGAGATCTTCATATTTCACAAGCTATATAGACTACTACCTCTGTCCCACTAACATTGGGACGGAAGAAGGTGACACGGTTATTAAGAAAAGTGGGTTTATGTGGTTGATATTGAATTGATAAAGTAAGAATGATTAAGAGCCACACAAACTTTACCAAATATGGTATGGGACAATCTTAGTGGGATTTCCCGAAAAGGTAAAATGGGACAATCTTAGTGGGACGGAGGGAGTATAACTTAGACCAGCGATAATTTGAATTAGCAAAGCATGTATCATGCGTAAACAGCACCCTCAGCCCTTTAGCAGAGAACTATAAAAGTAGAACATACTGAATCTACATATACAAACCTGTGTAGCGACAATCAAGGTAAATTGCAAAAAGAAAGAAGGATTCTTCTCAATTAGTTCCTTTGGGTACTCATCTATGAATTTGGCCTTCACGGAATCATTGAGCTCTTGCAGAAATGAGCATACACACTTTGCTTTTGATTGTCCGACATTTGATTCGTCCACTAACAATTATATCATGAAGAGGATGCAAAAATAAAATCTGTAGTTATTAGTTTCAACATAATGCATACACATAGATGTGGCTTCATAGATATTATTTTACATATGCACATACCAAGAAAATTATTTCCAAGGTCACCAACTTCCACTTTAGATCCATCAACAACAGTGATACTTCCAACCCCACCAAGAACAAGGTTTTTCAAAGTTTCAGAACCAGTAGGCCCACAATTAAGTAAACATATACTGGATTTCTCCAAAGCAGCCTGTCCCTGCTCACCCCATATCCTGCCAAAAGAAGAGCAACGAGATGTAGGTTTACCCCTATTTTAACACAACCAAACTTCTCCAGAGAAAAAGCATCATTAAGTTTAGGCAAATCCAACCTTTGGACTAAATTTGAGTTAGCAAGTTATGCATGGAATAGCACTGCTTAATACATAAGAAAATTGATATATTGCATTGCTAAATACTAATGACGAACAGATATAACATTAGCATCAAGTACAAACTAAAGTATTGATAAAAAAACTACTCCATAATGTTCAACTTTATTTCCTTAAGAAGGAAGAGTAGGGATGAGGATGATGCTTTTGGCCGGATGAACTAGTGCATACTGCATTTTCTATAAAAAAATACTGCGGCTCACATACATTGAAGATACAAAATACAACAATCAGTTACAGGCATACACTATAAGAAGGTGACACATAGGCTTCACCTGAAAAAAGCATTACCCTAAGTGGTCTGTGATATGATTTTAGAAACTACTACTTGCATCAGGATTTTGAGTCCGAGTGCTACACACCCTATTTTTTATTTTTGTACTTTTGATTGCAGAAGCTAGACTTCTTCCTGTCAATCAAAACAAAAACAACTAATAATTTTTGTACACCATCGTGGTGAGAACAAAACAGCTCTTGTCAATGTGAGGCTGGTGCACAAAAGTTGCAAGTCTCCACGACGCGAAAAAACCCTTTAGTTTCCTATCCCCGTCAAAATGCGCATCTTAACATTCCTAATCAGTTCTAAGTTCTAACCATTTCCAGTTTCAACTTTCAAATATCCCATCTGTATACCAACTTTATTTTTTCAATTCTAGATCTTATTATACATATTTGCACTGCAAAAACCTTCATTTTCATTAAGGTTTTGCACTCTTTCAAGTTTGTAATGCCATGTGTTCACACATTTTTTTCAGTTTGAAGGTTAATGCTCCATTGGCAAATTTAAAATATTCCCTTTGTTCAAAAAATAAGTATCCTATTTCAAACACTAATTCTTCTGAAATACTAATTTGTCCTCCAATTAAGTTCCTAGTTTGACTTTATGAGTTTTAGACAAAATAACTTTTATAATGACTTTCCAAGCGTGTCGTTCCTCAAAGGTATGATCGAGAAAAACAACAATTAGGGATATACTTTTCATAGGGGTAAAAGAGTATTTTACCATCAAATCAAACAATGCCCAAAAGAGAGGTAGGAACTTGATTTTGGGAGATCCCAATAAACAAAGTGGGAACTAAATTGCAGAACTGACGGAGTATAATTAGTTAAGTTTGATAAAACGATAAATTTCCATGTGATTTACCAAAAAGTAATTCACTACCTTGTAGTATTAACTTTTCCAAAAAAAATAATCTGTGCTACCTTATAACATTAACTCTATATTTATACTGCATATTTAAATTATTCTATTCAAAGTGCGCATAATAGATACTCATGCTTCTTTATGTAAGTGTAAATAAAGTTTTAATATGTCCTTATACCTACAATGTGCATGAGCTGATATCTAGTGCTAGGTCCGCCACTCAGAACAGAGGTGAAATTAGTAAAGCAAAACCCTAATGAAATAGATTAATCTATAGTATGTGACAATAAGCCATTGAATTTGAAATTATACTTCCAAGCTGCAAAAGCTGCTTGAGAAGTTAACTATCTCTCTGTGTGAGCAGTTGGCTGAAGTCCAGCTTTCAATTCATAAAACCTCAAAAACAATCAAAGGCAACTCAACATCACTGCTATGATGGAGGGAAAGACTGTATTTCAATTTCGTGTAGTTTCGGCAACGCAACAAACTGAGTAAAAGGCTACCGTTGCTTATGAGCAAACGAGGGGCAATGCAAAAACTGCATAAATGGAATAATAAATTGCGATGTGTTAAACTGGATTGACGAGGAATTGCTACCTGAGTTGACGATCGTATTTAACTTTGGGCTCCGCCATTGCGCGCGAGTAGAGAGTGTAGTGACAGGCAATCCGCTTGAACGCTACGCCAGTGCAGCTGACGACTTGTGATTTTTTTTATTTGACAATAACCAAAGGGTTGTGGTTTTTGGTGAGGGAGGTTTTGAGTTGACAAAATTACGGAGTATCAAATAAGGAGTACTTAGGTATTAAAAAATGTTGGTGTCATCTCGGGGTGGTTGGATACGGTTTATCGAATATTTTCTCTCATACTTTTACCGTACTGAAACTTTCGATATACAAAATTTATATATCGTTACCTTACCAAAATTTCGGTATACCACATTTCGGTATACCGAAGTTTCCGTTCGGTAACGGTACGGTATTGGTAAATTATCATGCATGTCCCCCAATTCAAAAAATTATCATAGACTATCGAAATATAGTAAATCGGTGTACTAACGACATATTTAATCCATTATTAAAATGTTACAAAATACAATTAATAATCTATTGATGTCATATTCAATATTGAACAATTATTATTAGTAGTATATTTAAGCAGTTCAGCATATTTAAATAACTTGAGCAATATAGATATAATTAAATGAATAGTGATCACTAACAAAAATAAATAAAATTATTCAAACAACATGGATATAAAATCATTTATCCATAATATGATATTGTGTATTTAGTCTTTTTTATAATTTTAAATAAAATATTTGAATAAGCCTTTCGGACAAAGTTATGTGCCTCGACTTGTGGAATCTCTATGTCGATACACTCGTCACATAAGTGTATCCCTCTTCACTCGTCAGCTACTCAGCGGCTCAGCCATCGCGACTCGCAAGCTTATGGAACAAGATGGACTGGTCCGGACATTAGTACATTACTCATTAGTCATTAGGGTTTGTTTGTTTGAATGTTACGTAGTAGAAGCCTCGAAGTTTATAGTGGGTTTGGGAAATCATGACTTTATTTTTGTATTTTAGTATTTGTAACCAACATAAATATTAATTTTGGGCTTCAAACTTGTAATAGATTTTTACAATATTTTAGAAGTTATAGTAATCGCTGGGTGGGAGTCGGTACGGTATTATACCGGTATACCGCGGTATTTGAAAACATTTACCGTTACCGTACCGAAATATATCGGTACAGTATCATACCGTACCGAAAATGACGGTATACCAATATTCCGGTATTTTCCGGTATTTTTCGGTACGGTAAGTGCGGTATACCGATTTTCCGGTATTCTTGTCCACCCCTAGTGTCATCTACATAATAATCTACGGAGTATAAATCTAAAATCTTATAAATGTCTCATCAATGAGAGTAAGGACTACTACGTACTTATTAAAAAAACGTTGGTGTCATGCAATTGCTAAATGTACTTGTACATTATACTTTTGATTTTCTGCTACTAACTAACATCTTTTCTAAATTTTCTCCTTTTAACGTCGTTACCGTATCTACCTCTCACACAGGTCAAAGCTATGCTGACTGCTAGCGAGTCTCAAAGGGAGTGTGCCTAAGGGGCCATATCAATTGTGTCATCGTCGTCTGGTATGTATATTACTAGTATTCTACCCGTGCGATGCACGAGAAAATGTTATTAATATAAACAATTTGGTCATATAAGAATGCATGTTTTGCCATATCATGTTATATGTGGATGAATTTATTTTGCTTACAAAAAATATACTCTATATGTGTCATCGATATATACGATTTACGCTTTCTAATGTACAACAGTCATAACAACATGGTTGATAACCATTTTTATTTAAACTTTAGATTTTTAGAAATTTGATTGCGGCGTATAACTATTCATATTATAAAATTGGTTTTTGAATAATGTCCCTTATTTTAGGTCTTAATGACAACTTGGATGTCAATGGTTTTTAATGTAATTTAATACTTATACGTAAATAATAACTATGGGATAATAAAGAGTTTTTTTCAAAAAAATGTTAAAGAAGAAATTATTTACCAATTTAGGATCGAGTTAAAAGTAGTTTTCAGAATACTGTTGGAATGAACCCTGGTTAATAAATTAAAAACTCTGACTCAGTTGTCGAATTTCTCTTAATCGCCAAATTAGGGAGTGAATGTTATGAAGTTATCAAATAATCAATTTTAATAAGATTTTCCTTTAAAAATACTCAATTACCCTTACCTTTTCTACTTTTTATCTTCTCTTTCACACTTTTCCACCATCTCTCTTACTTTTCTACACTATTCATTACCCCTACTATTTCACTCTTAAAAAATGTGTCACACCTATTGTAGTAAACAAAAAACAGGGATGTCGTAATATATAAATACACATTATAGTAAGAAAAAGTAAGCAACTCAAATTGGTGTAATGGAATAGGCGCCACTATATGTATAGGAGAAGCATGGATCGATTCCCAACAACAATGTAATCCTTACTTGGGCTCGAGTTTCCACTCTTTTTCGGGCTTGAACGGTTCAGTTTCCGGACCGGGGTTGTATGGGTCACCGAGTATTTTCGGTTCCACTCTTTTATAGTTCCTGACATTTTATAGTCCCTTACAATGTCATTAGTGTTTGTTATGTTTATTTTTTGTTTAAATGTTCCAAAAGATTGAATCCCCCACCAAAATGGTCTCCACGCCCTTATCTGACCAGTCATTTGGAAGATTGTAAGTTAAGATGATTCATTTAGTTAAAGACTTAAAGGTAGTAGCTACTGTATTCGTGTGTACTAGAAGTACAACTCAATACATATGACTGATATGAGTCGTCTCCACAACTCAATACATATGAGTTGCGAATTTTGATTTTTGGATTTTTGGGTTTTTGATTTTTTTTGTTAATAACAAAAACGAAGTGCACAAAAAAGCCTACCAAGTCCCATGGCACCCACACTCCATACTTCTCTCCCATTCCTTTTATGTCGCTTTGCATATATGGATCATTTATACTCATCAATCAATAACAGGGCCATCTCAGCTTCTTCATTCCCATACGCCCATAACTTCTTCCTCCGTCTGTTTTTTATTTCGGCTTTGCACAGCACACTAATCAAGAAACACCCACCCACCCCATCCCTCGCCTGGCCCTTGCAAACCCACATCATCATTTTTCTCAATGAGCGTGATCTGTAGATATTGATGTCGACCCGCACACGCAAACTCGTCATGTATATAAACTCACCCTCTTCTTGTGCAGCCGCGACTTCACTCCTACGAGCTTCATCTTCCGCCTTGTGCCGCCCCCGTCTTTTCACCTCAGCTTCCCCGCTTCATAGAGCCGCCCGGAACCACCCGTCTCCTTTGTTTCGCCAGCAGCAGCATCGGTCGCTGAGCTTCTCGTCCGCTCTACGGTCGATCCGTTCCTCCGGTTGGAGTCACGGCATCGGTTGGAAGTCCCCTGCTAGCCTCTCTGCCCAGATCAGGGTCGCCGCCCCCATTCTCAGCGAGTTCCATCGGAAGATTGCTACTATGGGTACTGTCTCTCTTTTCGGCTTTCATCAGTTGTTTCACTTGTTTGATTATAAAATTGATCATTCTCGAGTCCTAGGCATGTAAGGCAAATCCGATTCTTAATGTTCAACTTCCGTTTTACATTTGGACTGCGGAATAATAATTTCAGATTGGTGTTTTTTCTGATGACTGCGAATTCATCTGATCCGATATCAGTGGTAGGGCCTGTCCATCACAGCTGATGACATTGACTGGAGATATTTTGTTCTTCCTGTTTTACGAAGTACTAGTTGTATTGATATTTGTAAAGTCAAAGTCAACTTTTACTTACTTTGCCGTGGTTGAAAGAATTTTCCATTATAGTCTCAGCTTATAAAAAGGAAACAAGGAAGTTTCAAATCCCCGCGTGGAGATCACAAAACTTGAAATAAGTTTGTGACTAACCTGAAATGGTTCGCACGGGTAGGCCATGGGGCTCGTGGGGTGGGAGATTGTGATTGTTTTTGGATAAAGGAAACAACGAATCCCAGTTTCTGATTGTGTTTATGTTAATGGCTCCAGCATCTGAGAATCCGTTCAAAGGCATCCTTACCAGTCTCCCCAAGCCAGGAGGTGGTGAATTCGGAAAGTTTTACAGCCTGCCTGCTCTCAATGATCCACGGATAGGTATTTTTCTCAAAACCATTATGCTTACTGTTTTAGTAAAGATGCTTGCTTTCTGATTCAAAAATATTTTATTGATTTTTTAAACTTCCATCTCCAATTATCTTGGTCTTTCTTTAGGGAAAATTGGATCTTTGTGGGCTAGCATATTTTAAAGGAAAAACTTTTTAATCAGCACATACCTAATGATCTGACCTGGTTTTATCTTTCATGTCTGTAGTTTCACATATCTATATCATTTGCCAACTCCGCAAATGTAATTGAAAGTTTGAAACTTTGTAGCGAGGATAGTTCTTAAATGCAATTGCAGCACTTGCATGTTTCTAGTCTATTGTCTCTCACCTCATCCATGTGTAACAGATAAGCTGCCCTACTCTATTAGGATACTTCTTGAATCTGCAATTCGTAATTGTGACAACTTTCAAGTGAAGAAGGAAGATGTCGAAAAAATAATTGACTGGGAAAGCTCTGCTCCTAAGCTGGTTGAGATTCCATTCAAGCCAGCCCGTGTGCTATTGCAAGTAACGGTTTTGTTCCATGCCTCTCTAAAATGTCTCTTAATCGAGAATGATTCTTCACATGAACTTTTTCTTCTACCTAGGACTTTACTGGTGTCCCGGCAGTGGTAGACCTAGCTTGTATGCGTGATGCTATGAACAATCTTGGAAGTGATTCTGACAAGATCAATCCCCTGGTAAGTATGATTTCAATTTTTTGCATTCTTAGTAATACACACTATTTTTGAGTGATACATATAATGAGATCTATCTGCTGATCTGAGTGAATAGAATACCTTCAAAATGTAGGATTTTGACATGTCAATTAGCTTGCTTCTACATTGTTTATAAATCATCGGCATGCTGTATGGGAATATCTTCTGGTTTTGATTAGCATGATAGGAATATTAAAACAGGCAATTCATATCATGTTATTCCTTCATCTCATTTGATTAATTGATTTTTGGATTTGCGAATTGCAGGTCCCTGTAGACCTAGTTATTGATCATTCTGTTCAAGTTGATGTTGCAAGGACAGAAAATGCAGTACAGGCTAATATGCAGCTTGAGTTCCAGAGAAACAAGGAAAGGTTTGCGTTTCTTAAATGGGGGTCTAATGCTTTCCGCAACATGCTTGTTGTTCCTCCTGGTTCAGGAATTGTACATCAGGTACTGGAGTTAAAGAAAATCATCCTAGTCTTTAAACTTATTCTTTCACATCTCAATATCTCATGCCAGTTCATTGTCACTTGCAAACTAATGTTTTTTTAAATGGCTTACTTTCAGTTATTACTTGCTTTTGGTAGAGTAAAAAGACTAAAAACACATATTAGGTTTATATCTAAACTATTTTAAGTCTGAACACCAATGAAATTCTTGTAGGTGAACTTAGAGTATCTTGGACGGGTTGTGTTCAACACTGATGGCATACTTTATCCTGATAGTGTGGTGGGAACCGATTCCCATACCACCATGATTGATGGTCTTGGAGTTGCTGGCTGGGGTGTTGGGGGTATTGAAGCAGAAGCAGCAATGCTTGGTCAGGTGAATTAACTATAAAATTGATTCAATAAACTCTATGGGACATTCGGTAACTGCCTACTTCTAACCACTGATTTTCCCCTTTAGCTTTCAAGTTAAATACATTAACCTTCCCGCTATTGTTTGTACATGAGCAGCCAATGAGTATGGTCTTGCCTGGAGTTGTTGGTTTCCAGTTAACTGGGAAGTTGCGCAATGGTGTCACAGCCACAGATTTAGTTTTAACCGTAACCCAAATGCTCAGGAAGCACGGAGTTGTTGGAAAGTTTGTTGAATTCCATGGTAACGGTTACATAAAAAGAATTGTTTACTTGGCTAATCTGTCTAGTTGTTATAGCTTTCATGAATATAATCCATGAAGCACGGAAACTTCTCCTGGCTCACGTTTCCCCGTTTTCGGAACTCAAAAGCGTGTTGGAATCTCGGAAATTTCAAAATCCTGTTTCAGGGTTGTTTCTGTAAATAAGAAGAATTGCAAATCCCATTAATAATTAATGTTTCGAGAACTTTGGGTTTTCAATTTTCTTTCTTTCTTATGGCCTTATGGGGATTGCTTGATGGAAAATATTTCCTTTTTAAAAAACTATAGTGATTTTTTTATGGAACTTCTTAGCAACATTTCAACATTTCATAATACAATGCATTGTTAGAAATGTATTACATTTTATATTTAATTATGCACTAATATGCGATAATTTCTAAATTTGAACTTGTGTTTTGTATTCATTTATGTTATCGAGTTATCAAACAAGTTATATGAAACAATAACGTGCATATATATAAATGAAAAACATGTGTACATATATGAAAAAGTATTTATAAACATATAATTGTATTTGTAAATATTAATGTGTTTCCCTTCACCTTTCGTATCCTATTTTTTAGAAATCATGTTTCTTGCGTTTCCCTTTTTTAATTTTCCCGTTTTGCTTTTCCGTGCTACTTGGAAATTATAATATAACTTATGGAAATTCTCACTGTTTATTTTTTATTTTTAGGTGATGGTGTCGGTCAATTATCATTAGCTGACAGAGCAACTATTGCTAACATGTCTCCTGAATATGGTGCAACTATGGGATTCTTCCCTGTAGATAATGTTACATTGCAATATCTCAAATTGACTGGGAGAAGTGATGAGACTGTAAGTTTCAAATTTATCCTGCATATGAATCCTGAACACATACTTGCTTTTCATGTTATCTTCTTTAGGTGCTCATGTTTTTTACTTTAATTTAGGTTGCCATGATTGAGGCGTATCTTCGTGCAAACAATATGTTTGTTGACTATAATGAGGTACAAGTTCATTTCAAATAATATTTCCTTTCTATTTGGTTCTTTCATCTCTATTCCTTGTTTGATCCAAGTGCTTTCTTCATTTGAACTTCAGCCTCAACAGGAAAGAGCGTATTCATCATCATTGCAACTAGACCTTGAAGGTGTTGAACCATGTTTGTCAGGGCCAAAAAGGTACCTGCTTCGAGTTGTAACAGTGGATTTATTATTACATTATATAGTTCGCTAGTTTATGTTCAAATTCCACCTGTCATCATGGCAGACCACATGATCGTGTGCCTCTCAAGGAGATGAAGTCTGACTGGCATTCCTGCCTTGATAACAAAGTGGGATTCAAGGTGATTGTCAAAGCTGATCAGCTTCTCCTCAAAGGCCTGCTTTTTAATTGATCGTGTGCTTACAACAGATTTGTTTGTTAAATAATAGTTTTATTAGAAGTTCCATAATATGACTAGGTGAAAGGAAAGGACTGAAGACAGTGTATCGGACCAATTGATAGGAATTAATGAGTAAAGAACTAAATACTAAGAAATAATAGGCTTTTACTATGCTCAATAGCATGCCATTTCTACTCAGAATCTTCCTCCTCTCTTTCCTTTAAGGACTCTATAGTCTTAAAACACATAATGTAACAGGTAAGTAATAAACTAAATATCAATCAATAAATAATATCATCCTTGAAGCTGTGCTCAGACATTGATCCAGATTCCATGCTAATGAGATCCCAATTCGCTCCCTAGTTTCTGTGGTTAACTTTCCCTGTTTGATATCAATGGCTCTTGACATACCTGACTATCATCATGTTAAACTTGCTGCTAATGAACTCCGGTCCAATGCAGGGTTTCGCTGTGCCAAAAGAGGCACAGGAAAAGGTGGCAAAATTTTCTTTCCATGGTCAGCCTGCGGAGCTGAAACATGGCAGCATTGTAATTGCTGCCATCACAAGTTGCACTAATACATCGAATCCAAGTGTTATGCTAGGAGCTGGACTTGTGGCTAAAAAGGCCTCTGAGTTGGGTCTACATGTCAGTTCTTGTCTTTAGACTCGAATGGCTGGTTGCAACTTCAACAGTTAGCTGAAATTCATATTCTTGTACTTTATGTCAGGTAAAACCATGGATAAAAACCAGTCTTGCCCCAGGATCTGGAGTTGTGACAAAATATTTACTCCAAAGGTAATATCTGCACCAAACTGTTTCAATGTATATTTCTAAAAAATAGTCACCGTCAATCTATTTGTTGCTGTATGCAGTGGGCTGCAGGAGTATTTAAATAAGCAAGGTTTTAATATTGTTGGATATGGGTGCACAACATGTATTGGCAATTCTGGTGATTTAGATGAATCAGTTGGTTCTGCCATATCTGAAAACGGTATGTAGTTTTATAGTTTATTTTTACCATTTGCTCATAAAAAACTTGGGCACTGTTCGGCAAGATTTATGTCCTCGTGATGTTCAAACACAAAATTAGATGTGATAAAAGATTGTTTGAGTTTAACCAATCTATAAAACATATCTCATTTTTTGAAAAAATGACCCATCATTGTTAGACCATTCTTTTTACAAATAATGTACAGAAACAGAAACATCACCAAACACTTGTATATTTCTTTTAAATAATCTGAAATCAAAATCAGAATAATATATACAAAGTGTTAGCCAATTGTCATAAAGGGTCTATTTGGATGTAAGATTTTGGGGGCTTAGCCAATATTCTTGATCAATGTAATCCTATAAACAAATAAAAGGTGATTGAATCGTTATACGATGACTATTACTTCAACCTTCCAATTTTATAAAATCTCAATTATGTACCGATGTATCACGATATAATGCCTTCCAATCCTTCCATTCCTGGCTTGTCTACCTCCATCCAAATAGAGCATATGTGTCTGGTTTTGCGCATGAAAATATACTTCTTCAGTGTTGTTTTGTGTCGGTAATAGTGTCTAAGTAAGGGCTTGCTATTTTTCAGACATTGTTGCGGCTGCTGTACTTTCTGGAAACCGTAATTTTGAGGGTCGTGTTCATCCCTTAACACGAGCGAACTACCTTGCTTCTCCTCCTTTGGTGGTCGCCTACGCACTTGCTGGCACAGTATGTCATTGCTCTGTTTCATATGTATTAGCTGTTATATTTATCTTGTATGTGCACATTGCATGATAGGGTTGCTAACTTGCTACTACTTTTTGAAACACAAACATACACACAATATCTCTCTTTCTCTCTCTCTATATATATTTTCTACCTCCATCCCGCAAAGAGGTTTCCACTTGACTTACACACATACTAAATTTGGTTTTGACTGTCTAAATATACTCTTACAGTCTTACATTATGTCAAATCAAGTAAAAGAAGGAAAAAAGTATGGGTACTTCAGACCTTTCCTATAAAATGATAGGAAAAGGTTCAAATAGACCCTTCTACTATTTCCAATCCATCACTTAAGTCCCTATACTAAGAAAGGTATCATATAAGTTCATTTAAAAACATGGTCAATCATGCCATCTTAACCTAAAAAGTTTGACCCTTTTCCCAAAAAAGGTTTCTTTTTATGGAAATGGGAACTTTATTTTGGGACATCTAAAAACAAATAGTGGGAACTTCTTTTCGAGATGGAGGTAGTATATATATATATGTATGTAAATACACACACACACACACATTATACACACACACCCTATCCCAGTTTACCTGTCTTAGTTACTATTCATTGGTCAAATTGCATTTTTTCTTTCCTTATTTTCTTGAGTATCTTTTTATAATTTATAAATAGTCATGAACCTACTTGTTTTGTATAACTTTATGATGATATATTTATTCAGTAGCTCATATTATAATAAATGTTTTAAAAATTAATTTAAAAATCTTAATGGGATATGGTGATTATATATGTGTTTGTGTGTGGGGGATGAGGTTTCCATAAGAACCACTTCATGGATACATACTCTTTATAACAAACAAATGTGCACAAAAATTAGAGCATGGATTTAAATGTATAGAGTGATCGTAATTGTACCTTGGATTTTACCGTGTATGCAGGTTGATATTGATTTTGAGAAAGAGCCCATTGGAGTTGGGAAGGACGGTAAGAATGTTTATTTCAGGGATATATGGCCATCAACGGAGGAAATTGCAGAGGTATGCATTGCTTTATGCCATTTTAATAACTGTTTAATAGAAGAAGTTGACGTGGAAGAATTAATTGTCCATTTTCCATTTTAGGCTGTTCAATCAAGTGTATTGCCAGATATGTTTAAGAGTACCTATAAAGCCATTACTAAAGGTAACCCGATGTGGAATGAGTTGTCAATCGCAGAGGCCAAATTGTACTCGTGGGACCCAACCTCTACATATATTCATGAGCCACCATATTTCAAAGGAATGACCATGGACCCACCAGGGCCACATGGTGTGAAGGATGCCTATTGCTTGTTGAATTTCGGGGACAGTATAACCACAGATCACATCTCACCTGCTGGAAACATTCACAAGGACAGTCCGGCTGCCAAGTTCCTCCTGGAGCGTGGGGTGGATCGCAAGGACTTCAACTCTTATGGCAGTCGGCGTGGCAATGATGAAATTATGGCAAGGGGTACTTTCGCCAATATCCGTCTGGTAAACAAACTGCTGAATGGAGAAGTTGGCCCCAAGACTATTCATATCCCCACGGGCGAGAAACTCTCTGTGTTCGATGCTGCTATGGTGAGGCACTGTTTGCTTGCCATTTATTTGTTTTCCTGATTGATCACTATCTATTAGTGATAGATTAGAAAATAACTATATTTCGCCAACTCATGTATTTCTATACTACGTATACTTTTTCATTGGTTTCTGTATATCAATATTGCCCCTTCCCCGTCCTTTCCATACTCCCCAAAGAAAACATATTACTTTCATGGGCGAAAAGCTAAAGAAAACTTATTACTTTCAGAGGTACAAGTCTGCTGGGCAGGCTACCATAATATTGGCGGGAGCAGAGTATGGAAGTGGAAGTTCCAGAGATTGGGCTGCCAAGGGACCAATGTTGTTGGTGAGACTTCCCCTACATCGTTGCTCAATTATTTATATCGTTTCGTAACATTATCCTTTTCTGCATTTGTTTCGCTTCTTCATTAATAGGACTGGAATATGTGTTCAACAGTAGTGTTTTTGGTTCCAGTTTCCGAGCAATGAATGAAGTCAATGAACTACCCTACATCTGTTGGAGCATTATTTCGCGTTGTTGGCATTATTTTCAATACCACATTTCCGCTCGACACAGTTAAAAAATTAGAATTTTTATAAGATCATATGCACACATCATCCTATGGAATAAGATATACAAAACAGATCACCCACCATATTATATTTTAGAAATTTGAAAACAGAACAAAAGAAAACTAAAACAAAATTTGTAAAGATAAAACACAGCAACCACAATTGTGTCTGTACATTACATTCTGGTCTTGAATGTAAATTTAATGTGAATGGTGGGACAGGGAGTAAAAGCTGTGATCGCCAAAAGCTTTGAGAGGATACACCGGAGTAACTTGGTAGGGATGGGTATTATTCCTTTATGTTTCAAGGCTGGAGAGGATGCCGAGACGCTGGGATTGACTGGGCAGGAGCGTTACTCTATTGATCTCCCCAGCAATATCAGTGACATACGTCCTGGTCAGGATGTCACTGTTCAAACTGACATCGGCAAATCTTTCACCTGCACAGCGCGGTTTGATACTGAGGTAACACTTCTCAATATCATCTATTTCTTCAATTCACTCTTTAAATGAAAAAATACCAAGTGTGTTTGCATCCAATAAATACTAGGCCAAAAAAAAAATTGAGCTCGACACTACACTTGCACTGGTATTGGAAAGTTGATGGGAAACTGTACTACTATGATTGTTTTTTAACTGTTAGATATGTTTATAAATCTTGATCTTCCTATAGATATAATGGTAAAATAATTCGAGTTTCAACAAATATCAAATACTAGGTATAAATTTATTGTCATTGCTCCAATGTCTTGTTACGGAGTCATAGGCGTGCCTGTTTTGTTTCCCTACCATTTTCCCTGTTCCAAACGGGCTCTAAATAGAAAAAAAATTATGGAGTGCTCACTACTGTGCACGTTGGCGCGATGAACGGTCATGATCCATTCATTTAAAATATTTAAAGAATCCGGGCATAGTTGTCTAAAATAGCCTGGGAAAACTGGTTAGAAAATACGAAACACTGAATAGTTGTCTAAACTAATAATGTGTTTTCATCCCCCACTGTAGGTGGAGTTGGCATATTTCAATCATGGAGGTATTCTGCCGTATGTTATTCGTCAGTTGACTAAGCAATGAATGAGCTACCCTACGTACATCTGTTGGAGCGAGAAGCTCAACCGGGAAAAGAATAAATTTGATTAATTGTCTCAATTATTGCTAATTAAATGGGCTCGCATGTATGGTGCTGGACCACCTATGAACAATTATGTCTCAATTATTTCAATATATATATATATATATATATATATATATATATATATATATATATATATATATATATATATATATATATATATATATATATATATATATATATATATATATATATATATATATATATATATATATATATATATATATATATATATTTGAAGGATTTTGACATTTCGTTCAAGTCCTTTTTCTTGGGAAGTAAATTAATATTTTATGCATATGCGATCATCATCGTAATGGGAATGCGACAACAATTTTTCGAACATCTCCCTCTCTTGTATGATTGAATGGTCATTCTATTTACATAATACTTTGTAATTTTATTCATTAAATATTTAAATTGATTGGAACAGATGATGATGAAAACAAAATTTGCTCTTAACAAGAGTAAAACATGATATTTCAAAATATAACAATATAATTTCAGGACGAGGTCTTATAATTCAACATTTCAACCACAGCAGTCATGTCAGGTCTTATTAATAAGTGGTTGTATACAAAATGCTAATACACATCGATAATTAGTGGTTGTCCGTTAAGCTTTTAAGAAGCCTCTACAAGTCCTCCTGTATACTGGCAAGAGCGGGTGTGGATGCCGTAGGTATGAAATCCACACCGTTGGATGCTGAAAAAGGTTCATCATCAGGAACCATTCTTCTCTTTATACTCCCTAACCTGATGATGGTTTCAGACAGAAGAAGAGCATCCTGGGAGGAGGAGAGCAATGGTTCTCCTCCCTCCAAGATTTGGCGCAACTCGTCCCGCTTCATGATGACTGTAATCCTCACACCCCCTTGTCTGCTCCTTTCCGCTTCTTCATCGCACTCGTCAAGCTTAAACCTGACTGTCTTTTTATGTTTCCTCTCTTTCCTGGGCGGTTGTATTCTGCTCTCGTCTTCTCTTGGAGTCTCGCTTGTCTTCTCTTGAAGTGCCTTTCTCGCCAAGCAGTTTCCCATGTGTAGTGGTAGTAGTACTACTGGACGTTCAAGAACGGAATTTAAGCAACTATCAAAAGCGTGTATATATAGAGAGACGGGAGGGGGAGAGACAGTGGACAGGAGGGAGACTTAATCTGAAAGTAATGATAATAAGAAGTATGTGAATTCATTGATCCATTCAGACCAAATTAAGGGCGGCAATTGTACGTTGCTTTTACTTTTGCATCCAGCAATCAATGATGATTGAACCACTCTATGGGTTGGCAATTTGGCAATGGCCATTGCAGCACTTTGGTTCAAACCATTCTATTATACGATAAGTCAGGGCCGATCCTAAGATTTTTTTGGTCTGAATCGAATGGTTTAAAAAGACCCTTAAGCACCATAAAAAAATCATTTCATTTTCATTTATCCCAGTGCCGCAAAGGCTCCCACCTACGGTGGGGTAAGGGGGGGCGGATGTACGCAGTCTTACCCCTGTACTAAAGCACATAGAGACTGTTTCCGGATGACCCATAGTGAAAATCGCGTCCAAAATTGCATAGACTGACTGTCGCTTCATAACAAATAAACGCAGACAGTTTAATGAGTCATTTTGTTTTATTCCATCATGATCTCAAGCCAAAAATAATAATAAATTTTTGGCTCCATTGCAAATGATGGAAAAAACACCATAAAAAAACAATAAAATTTAAATACAGTAAACCACGGCAATTAGCAATGAAATAGCGCACAACAGTTTCCAACCAAAATTGACATTTAGAAATAGTAAACCACAACAATTCAAAATATGGCGATTTACCGATTTTAGGTTATATATTTAATAGCATTTATATTTAAATACTTATCTGTAATAATGGGATTACATTCTGGAAAGGAATGAATTGACGTCTTCCACTCTTATGAACTTGAGAACTCTTCAAATTAAAGCTTGAAGTTGGAATTTGGGAAGTTTCAAATTCAAATTAGGCCTACTAACTATGGGTATATACGTAAAGACAACTAATATATTTTTGGGCCCTGATTTTTTCCCAAAATTGTGGGGCCTGAGGCAATTGCCTATTTGTCTCAACTATAGGTTCGGCCCTGTACGTAGTACTATTTTTATATTAGGTAGTATATTTTTTTATCATAAACCAGCAATTATATTAATTTAGAATATCGATGACCAAGTGACTTGAGCATCCACTTTTTATCAAGTTTTTTTCGAATTAATGTTAATTAATTAATTAATTACGAAAATAATGCTGGGTTAAAAGTATTTCCCGATCTACTGCTGGGTTTAACCATGATCGGGGTAAGTCGCCAAACGGTTGGGCGACTTATAAGTCGTCATCCGATTTGGAGACTTATAAGTCACCCAACCGTTTGGCGACTTACCCCTGACTATAAATTTCCTCTAAACAAGGTCTCCTTTCTCCTATTTAGGGGTTAAGAACCAGATACAACACATTACAAAACATACAACACACCTGCTCACAAACATATACATAACACCTTCTCTCAACAACATACAAAACACCGCATACATACCTACCCTTCACAAATAAGATACAAACTAGTAGATTCATAACCAGTAAAATACAGTACAATAATCCAATATTCATAACACAGTAGTCATCTAATATTCATAATCGAACACATCAACACATCATAAAAGAGTTTACAGGTGGAAATACGTAAAATAAAGTCAATTCTTCCCACAACATCTAGTGTACAAGAAAAACTCCAATACAAAAGACAAACTACCAGTTCTCATGGTCTTCTTGATCGTCTTGGTCATGGAGATGTTGTTGTTGCTGCCTACGCCTACGCCGCTGGCGTGGTTGAAGAACCACTCTCTCATGTTGAGTCGGGGATGATGAAGCTGCCGCTGCACTAGATGTCGATGGCATATCCTGAGATAGGGGCATATGTATAAGATGACCGTAGTCGACTCGCCCCAACACATCTGAACATAACGAGGCGATGCCCGTCAAAGCTTGATCATACATGTCCATGTCATGCGTATCACTCACTGTGGCAGTAGCCCGCTGATGTATATGCTGCAAAGCTCGTGTCTGAAATATGAAACACAATTACAATTAGTTAGAAATAAATAAAAGTGTTAAATAAAGAAAACTCCTTACTTTAGTAATTAGTAATATACTTGCCGTCAGATGCAAAGTCAAGGAACTAGGCTGATAATGGTGAGTAGGGAGTCTGAACGAAGGAGACACAAATGAACGAGTGATGCTGTAATACCATCCCATGTAGTCTCCCAAAACAGATGGGACTAATGTCGGTGTCCTAGTCACAACAAGCTCAGCTCGCCTGTCCCACATAGCTACGTATCAGACATGTCTGAGTGCCCAATCTTCCGTATATTTCCCACGCCTATCCAACCTATGAAGGTCTACATATGTGTCGATGGGTGCTGGAATGACCTGCTCATACCCAAACTGTCGCAATACACGATCAGGCAAATGAAGCTCAACAATGTCAAAACATATCAACGACACACGTGCTCACCATATGTGAGAATGCTCTCGTCCAGCGGGGGTAAATCTGCAAACATCTCAGCTGTATACGGCATCCATGTAATCTGTTTCATAAAGATACAATATTAGTATTTCTGCTATACATATTATAGTTAATGTTATATTACGCACACCATACCCGATCCTCACACATACGATCAAACGCATACCTGTAAACACCGAGCCCAGAACCCGATGATGTGCGACATAGATCAGTAAATAGCCATCTAACCATTCATGTAGCATATATTAATGTGAATATTATGAATATATTTATATTCAACATACAATAACATAAATTCAAACGATTGAAAACATACTGACGGCTCAGAGGGTCCTTGCCCCGTACATGATGTGGTCCTAGGAGACGTGGAGGCTCATCGGGCAGTGGGTGTCCATCAATGCCATGGTATACCACTATAATGGGACGTCCAATGTGGATGTACTCCCATGACCAAATCTGGAGAAGAAGAAAAAATCCTTCAACCTATGTGCTCCCTTTATGGCAACCGCGACACAGCTGTTTGTAGAGATAAGTCAGCGTGGCACTACCCCAACTGAACTGTGCTGCTACATCAAACCTCTCTAGCATAGGCAAGTGCAGCACCTAAACCTCATTTCCGCTCTTGTCAGCGAAAATGGAAGCATCCCTATCGTGCATGCTACTGGATCATCACCTCATCAGCGTCCGCATGAAAAACAACGAAATGATCCCTCGACCATGACATTCTCAGAGATGACCCCTGAAGGTCAGCCTGAAGAAGGGGTCGAACATCCAACAAACGCTCGCACTCATCAACCCATTGTCGGAAAGTAGTACCAGTAACAGCTCTCCCATCGACCTGTAACCCAGTCAGTACAGCAACATCTCCCAAGGTCACTGTCACCTCACCAAAAGGGAGGTGAAATGGGTGTGTCTCCTGCCTCCAACGCTCAAGAAGAGCAATGAGTAGCGCTCTATCGAGAGGGACAGTAGCCACCAATCTATGCAGACCATAAAAACCCGCAGCACGAACATGTGGAAGTACTCTGTCGTCCACCCGCACATGCGACAAACCACGTAGGTGCTCGCGGCACCTATCCACCTGAACATTGAGGCCAACCCACACATCCTCACTCCTGTGCAAGGCCTGCAATGTCAAGACAGAACGATCACTCGGCCCAGGATCCGCTGACACCTCCATGCCTACAAAAAAGGATATTAGTTAATTTTTAATATTGTATTATTTTATTTTATTTTAATTAATATTTTACTAATTATTTTTTCCATGCACCATTAGTATCAAATGTGGAATATTATAATTTGGACTTTACCCAGTGGACCCCCCTCCATCTCTTGATGATCTCTTTGCACATGTGGCCCTATTATGGTTGGTTTGTTTACAAATTCCACATCTAACCGTTCCTCGGGGACCTTCATCCATCTCATTCTTAATATGTGTGGACTTAGCCCGAACCATGGATGGATCATGCACAATTTCAGGTCTATAGTAAGTCGGCCAATAATCACGTTCAGGAATGGGTTTAAAGACTCTTTGATATGTGGCGGCGTATTGTTCAGATGAGAAAAATGGATCCACAAATGGATGAGAAGACAAACTACGTTGTCTGCACACGGCTAATACATGAGAGCATGGAATCTTATATATTTCCATCTTTTTACAGGTGCAAGTACGCCGCCGCAGATGGACAATTTTTTCTCCCACCCTTTCCCAACGCTCGGCCACCATATCATGTTTCCACCTGGTATATACCTCGGCCTATATCATATGGAGTAACATTGTGATGCTTCACCTTCTCTCTATTCTTTTCAATCAAATCCGTTATGTGTGGAGAGTAGTCGTGACCTTCAGTCACACTTGCTTTACTGCTTTCACGCCTATTAACAAAATAAGCATTAACGCGAAAAAAGACACCTGGACCAAAGCGGTGATGGGCAAATATCTGATATTTTTCATCACGCTGTTGAAAACTTCAGCAAGATTAGAAGTGATTGTACTGTATCTGTATCCGCCATCGTAGTGTAATGACCACATTTCCAAGGGAATGTTCCCCAAAAATTGTCGCGCCTCCACCCGCATTTCCCCTATCTTCTTGAACCCACCATCAAACTTCTTTTTCTGATGTTGACGTGCGGTCCAGACAAATTGTCTCACCATATTGATGACTTGTTCTTTGTTGTCAAACTGTTGACCAATCTCAAACTCACCTTCGGGTGTAAACCTTTTCATACCTGCCCCATTCATCCACACATCGGTAAAGCCTTCAGGGAGATCATATATTCTAGTAAAGTGGCTAGACGGGGCATGAAGGAGTATATGGCCCGGGAACACCCGGCCCACAGACTCCTACTACTCCTTTAGAGGCCCAACAGGCCCAGAAGGCCCAACAGGCCCAGAAGGCCCAACAGGCCCAAATCACGGCGCCCAGAGTACCAAGCAGCCCACAAAAACGCACCAGGGGTGCCTTCGGCCCCCTGGCCGAAGGCTGCAAACTATCACAGCATGGATATTTCGAACAAACAGAGGAACTGGGAGAAAACAGCGAAAAACAGTAGCCCTCGGCACGTGGAGCCCTCGGCACTCAGGGCCCCTCAGCACTAAGAGCCCTCGGCTAGTCCTCTGCAGCTGAGGGCACCTCTCCCGACATAATATCCGCCTCACATGCGTGCAGATCACCGTACCCTGCACAGACGTCCCATCCAACAGCCGCATTAAATGCGGCCACATGCGGCTGCCAACGCCAACCAGTTGAGGTGACCCCTCGGCCAATAGGCGCTTGACACGTGTCCCTGTCCGGCATTTATTGCTACTATAAATAGCACCCCATTTCCCCATTTGTAACCACGCTGAAAACGCTTC